TCGGCGTATGTGAATACTAGCCAAGTGCGAGTTCCATTAAGAAGCACTCAATCTTGTTTCAGGTGACACGATCAATTCCACCCATCACCCTCGTCCTTACCCATGGCTTTGAAATCGAGCCCTTCTCCACAGTTAAATACAACACATCTTATCGCCAAGCTCTTCGCCAAGTCCTTCACAGTCTCCGTTTTACCAGTTCCTACTCGACAAAATCAATAAACAATTCATCACTTGCGGTTCGCAAGTTGCAGAGGAAAAAATACAACGCCAAGTGGACATACAGCATTTCCAGATCTGACTAACGCACCGCCCAAATTACTGATGATTTACCATATTTTTCAAGAAAAAATATTTTCATTTTTCATTGATCTAGAAATGCTGTATACCTCGGCAAACCCACCCGATGCCACCGTCGCCTCCCCCCAACTCACCCGCTGGCCCAGCAGGGCTTCCTCCCAAAAGGAATGTGAGAGCAGTGGTAAGGGTCATAACGCACCGATCGGTGAGTGGCGTGATGACCAGCCGGCCATTCAACCCTTGGTACTCGTAACAATACCGGAATGATCCCGTACCTGCACACTCATGCAAAAGGTCCCCGGTTCGATCCCTCCTCCCCGTACATTGTTTAATCAGAATGTCATCCAACTTCCTATCCCACATAAACCTCAACTGGCTCTCCCAAGCGAATTCCCGCGCATCCAGGATCGAGTCTCGCACAAATCGATCAACAATGTCCCTCGCATGGACGTCCAGAATGATCAACGTATTCACACATTTCCTATTGCAGCTGCTAAGATTCGTCCTTATCAGCTCAACCAGCTGACCCAACTCGTGGCTCTCCTTCCTCAGTTCCCTCTTCATAGCATTCTTATCGCCCTTCTCCATCACACGTTTAAAAGTGTCCTCAATACTCCACGTCCACCACGTTTGTGTGCCCGCCAAAACCACCATACCCAATCGCGATAGTATCCACTCAGTTCGAGGGGTCGAGGGATAGTGATAAACGGCCTCCTTCATCAACCTCAGCAAGGAATCCTTCATCTCTTCGTCAACCTGATGCCAACCACAGCGAAATCCTCATCGCGCTTGCGACGAGGAGACCATCCACATCCTCACGTTAATCAATTTCGCAATTCGGGAGATCAATCCGGCGATAGAAATTCAATCTCATGTAAACATCACAGCATCAAATACAAAATTCCCATGATGCAGAGTTTAAGGATATGAGCCGGGAATGGCTCTACTCTAACCTGTGAGATCCTCATCAGTGTCAGAGCCGGCAACCAGGCAGTAGCTACTTGGACTTCTACTTAGAAATTATCCCTCCCCAGTTCCTCTCACCTTCGTCATCCACTCCTCGACAGCTCCGACCGCCTTTACAGGTGTACAAAACGTCCATCGCTCTCCTTCGTCAGATACCATGCCAATAACAGTTGCGGCTGAATAAAATACCGCCGTCCAACGACCTTACCAACAGTCGACTAACGAAGAAGTGAAAAACTCCCCCTGCCGGGATTGATCCCGGGACCCATCCCTGGTCATTCCCCCCAACCTTACTGCCGGGCTTGAAGACGATTTCCTTCGCGTTGTCGAAGAGCTTCAGCGAATGAGGCTGCACCGCCTGAGGGTCCGAACTTCCCAGGATCGACAATAACTCATCGTCTGATATGAAGTAGAACCGCGGGAACAAGGCGCCTGACAAGAACAATCAATCCAACACAACACCAGTTGGAAGAGTCGTCTCGTCGACTACCCTCCGCCGACTCACGTTTCGTGTCTAGATAATCAGTAAGACTCTTCTGCGTCCTGTCCAACTCAGCAGTGAGGCCCTTCAACTCATTCAGTCTGTCGTTACCACAACACGCTTGGATGGCGTTCGGACTTGCCGCTCTGCCATCGAGAAAAGGTGTCACCACCAAACGAGATTTGCGCAATTATAAATACAACGTAGTAATAAGTCCCCACTGCGCCCCACTACTCAAGTGCCTCATGCCAATATTCTCACATTTTATCGAAAGCCACTACCACATTTTCGCCAACTCACGTTCGTTCCATCAGCTCCTTGAATACTTTGTGGATTTTATCAAACTTCTTAGCTTCTTCCGGCAGCTGCAGTCTGATATCATCCGAATCCAAGAAGATACTCTCCAAATACCTGACAAATCACCCAAGCATACCACATCGGAAAACTTAACACTCGTCCTTCCCCCAAATGCCATAGCCCGACAGAGAAGTAAAACCGATCCCCCCGGAACGCCCTCACCACAACAGAATGGATACCAAACTGCTTATTACATCCACTTCCTCTGTACAGTGAGCCAAGCATTGAGTACTTCATTAACGATGTTGAGGTTCTTTTCCCATCTCTTGATAGAGTCCATCAATTTCATTGCATACTTGCTCATACCCATACTCTGCAGCACCAATACGTGGTCCTCCAACGTCTGCTTCAACTCCTCATTGCCGCGTAAGACGTGACCACGATCACCTGCGATTCAAAAATGCCCATGAACCCGTTCGCGAGCACCGACGGGAACAAGCCGCCCTCACCTTTGTATATTCCCATATCCAAATTCAAAGCCCTCCAAGCCGCCTCAATCCTCTTCAACTCATTTTCGATATTCATCTCGTTGATAGCAGTCGTTCCTAAAAACCACAGAATCAACAGCGGAGCGGAGCGCGACCCATGAACTGATGCCACTATAAAAGTCCGATTCTCAAAGTGATTCCAAACTCTAAGCGCGATAGACTTACTTATCTCATTCACCTCCTCCGGGAATCTCTGCAATTCCAACGCAAAGACGGACCTCAGCGTCATAGAAGCCAAGTCGATATCGGCTGCTGCTGCTTCTTCATCTTCTGCGTCCTCCGGCACTTGCCCGGCCAACGCCATCAACTCCCCCCAATGGGAGGGTCGGATTGCGTCCGTTTTCAAACTCGCAATCAACGGTACGGACTGCTTGAAATCCGATACCACTTGCTCGAGCTTCTTGAATATCGCGGATGATTTCAATTCAGGCAAACTGAGCAGGTGTAAGGAACATGTCTATCTCCAACTATAGGAACAAATGGTTGCCCTTACTCCTTCCCTCTTTTCCTGACTTTCTTCTCATACTCATCCGAGGTTCTCTCCAACATTCCAATATCGATCTTCGTCCACAACATGTTGCTGAACTCCTCTACCTATGAAAAAATCTCGCTCGCCCCTCGACTCTTTCCGCGCTTATCAAGACCGTATAAGAAACGTAAAATCACCCACAGGATAAGCGATTCAGAGTATCGCGTATCTCCGACTCTGCATCACCAACTTACCATCTTCCGATGGTCCTCATAAATATCATACACATTCTTCACCAGCTTCAATTGCCTCTCCAAAATTACCAATTCCACATAGCTCGTAATAGGCAGGTTGAAGAGCATCTCGGATTTCACCAATTCCTGAGATGCGCATGTTTGCCATACATTGCATTTATCGGAGGTGATGCCCACCTCCTTCTTTTTCAGACCATGGTTCAACTCGTTCTGATATTTTCTCATCAGTTCAACTCCTTCATCAAGGGTGACATCATAAGTGTCTGAAGTGCGCATTTCTCGTTAGCAAAGAGGTCCGACTCGAGATCTTCCAACCCCCGTGCCGTGAAAAAACCATATCCAGCTAGAGCCACTAGTTCAGTCGGTGACGCTCGAGGCTCTTAACCGACTACCAATTATACCCGTGAGTTCGAATTGCGAAAAGTTTACATATATTAAAGTGCTATCCCCCCCCCCCCACGAACCCACCTGGTCCTCTAACACTGAAGTTGTCTAGGAGCTTGCGGCACTCTTCACCAAAGGCTTTAACCTGATCACAAATTCGCGACGCAGTTCGAACGATATTATCATCACGATAGACATTCAAAAAGGCAACAGAATCGCTTACCTCCTGTTTGGTGGTTTCAGCAAACTCAATCTTGCTTTTCTCCAATGCCAAGTCCTTAGCTCGGGAATACTTCTTTAGATTCCTCCACGCGCTGGGTAAGCCTTCGGCTAGACTCTTTTCCTCAGTCTTCACCATGCACTTATAGGATGCTAAAGTTCGATACCTGACACATAGAAAAGAACAGTGAATTCTCAACGCTCCGAACTATTCACTTCAGGCAGAAGACCGATTAGACCAACACACCTGTCCTCCGAATATGATCGCAATGGGTTGAGTGAAATCAATATGCCGACCCAACGGAAGCACACAGGCTATGACGACACTGTGAAGTGACAGAAAATTTACTCTTCCACAAGTTGGGGACAAGTAAATTTTCTGCCAAAATGTGGAATTTGATCTTGTAGACCACAAGATCAATTCCACCATCTAACCAATTCTAAGCGGAATCACAGAGATTTCCCCAGACGTTCCCCATTCTACTCAGCCAATGCTCTTACTTCTCCTGTAAATCGGCTATCCGTATTTCCATGTCCATATTGGAGGCCTCTATCGATGATATTGTGCTAAGCATCAACTTCAGCTCCTCCAGTTTAGTAGGGTTGAAATCAATGTTGTCCTTAAACTCTTTTATCTCGGCCTGAAAATCTGTTACGATCGATTTATGACGAAAATTCCAGTCATTTTCATGCCATAAAAATCAACTTCCTCATCACTCGGTCGGGTATCGCGCTCAGGATCACCTCACAAGAGATGGCGTCCATACAAAGGAATCGATCAGCGCTGACGATGCGTCGGCGGTGAGGAAGACCACGAGATGCCTACTCGTATCCTCTCTAACTCTTTGGACGCACTGTCGGATAATATACGGCCATAATCCGCCAACCACTCCTGTGCTTGAGTGCGGATACCTGCATACACGATACCACGAAAATGCGCAAAGTTCGGTCGACGATGTAGCGGTACTTCGACACTAAATCAAATACACGATAGCGGCGAGTACCGACCTGTTATAACGGCTATGCAGTCGATCCTGACGAAAGCCACATCCTGGTCTCTTTTGTGAGACAGCATAGTATCCACCAGATTCTTGTAGACCTTCAGATGAACTTCAAAATAGCTTAGACCAGGTTTCTTCTCATTGACGACCCTCTCCAAATCCTGTCTTCTCCTCATATCCCACAACCCCCACTGAGTATCGTATTTCTTCCAACTGCGCATAAACTTGTTGATAACTTGGAACACTTGTTGTAGCGAATTCTGGATATTCATCGTCATCTCAATGAGCGCTGCATTCTGCGACACGTCCTTATGGAAGGTAAACATGATTGCCTTTTCCTCATCCTGCTCTGCAGTTTGCGCCGGCACCTACAAAGGAAACTCTCAATACTCCCCAGTGGAAACAGAATTCCGTATGTCAAACGTGGATGATTCTGTTATAATAACTCGAACAAGTTGGAGACGATACCCACGAAAGAAATCTCGACCGACGATTTTTCCCAAACACGAATCCCTCCCTTACTAGCAGGCAAGTTCCGTCCATCCACCTCATAAACGCTGATGAGCTGAGCAAGATGTTCTGCATGAGCTTGCTTAGCAGTTTGAATACCCCATGGAGGGAGCCGACCACGACCTCTGGAGGATTGAATTCCGCCCGCATTCTTATCAACGGCGGCCTCTGTGTAGTAGCAGTTAAAAGTACCTATCAAAACGAAATGATTCTTATCAAGGTCGCAATCAAATATACTCCGCAATTTCATGCCGAATAATCAAAGTTGCACGCATACGAGCTGACGACGATGTGTGTGGGTATCGAGTCTCTGACTCAGTAAAAACGTGAGCCCAGTTGACCAGTCCACTTACTTGGAAAGTGCTTAGTCCTCTGATGAGGGCCGTCGTTATTGCATTATAAACTCTTCTTTCCCAATATGTGTAATACTCCTTCATACACTCTGCTGCACCCGATTTCGTACCAGTCGCGGTTTCCTCTATTTTGATCAGAAACGGCCCAATGCTCTCATATTGCTCTACCAGCTTCTCGACTTCACTAATGCGATGGTTTTCGAAATAGTCATAGAATTCCTGAATATCCATAATGTCTTCGCCGTCGCTACTCGACTCAAAGGAATCCTCCCCGAGAGTGCTGGTGGAAGCCGACGAACCGAGACTCGTCTTCGTCCAGTCAAACGATCGGACCAAAATCGATTGCTCGATCGATTCCACAACTGCCTCCACTCGTTCCTCAGACTTCTCCACTTGTTCTCTGATATTCTTGAATGCTGCAATCCCTCGAGTCGCCGATTCGATGAAATCCGCAATGCCAAGACTATTCCAGTTCAACGGTGTCAACCCTGGGCGTAATGCCTTATGAAGATCCGCGATCTGCGACTGCAACACCTTGCACTGTACCTACATCAAAATCCCTCCATCATCGCGCCAGAATCGTTCATTCAACAACCCACCATCGTCAGACCTTCAACCGCTTCCTCGTAGCTCTGAAGCATGATTCTCAATTTTTCGGCATAATCTTCATACTTGTCCATCTGCAGTGCCAAATTGACGATTGCAGCAGGGAGTTCGAAACCACCAATGAGATCGAAATTTTGCGCTTCTTTCATCAGTTCGATCAACTCTGGCGCAAGGTTCACCATATAACTAGCCGACGCCCGCCCTTCATGCTTCTCAATCGCAAGAATGCTCCTATTGAGACACTCCGTCGCCGTTAAACTCGCCGACTTCCGCCACTCTCCAAAGAGATCTCTCTCGTACTTTAATATCGCCTTACCAAGTTCTACATAATCTCCGCAAGCCTTCTGCCCACTGG